GAGGAGAATGAGGAAGAGTAACCGCTGGCTGTGACAGTGACAGTTGCTCCTCTCCTCCATCCCCTCCTTCAACTTCATCATCAGCACCAGCATCATCATCACCCGCCTCGGCAACAGCAGCTTCAGCTTCATCAGAGGCAGAAGGAGTGTCCGTCGAGAGAGTGGAGAACGAAAAACCTAAGCAGCACGCATCTTTTTTTTTAAAAGAAAAAAAAAGAAAAAAGAAAAGGTGCTCCACTTGAGACGGAAGATGGAGAAATGGCAGTTGCTGATGAGCGAATGTAAGGACCAAGAAATTCGACAAAATCTTCTTTTATGACAAAAACCCGGATCCGTGCAACAGTAGGAACTATTTAAGGAACAAAAAGGTAAGACGTTCACCGATAACATGTTTTCCTCTCTCTACGCTAAGTTGGCGCTATAATGGCTCACATAGGAGCTTGTCAAAATACAGGTATCTAAATATACATTTAACCAGATTTCAACGAGATTGAATGACATGAAAAAAATGTGGCATTTAAGATAGACTACTATCTTAAATAATTATCGGTTTGAAAACACGTTCTTATCAAATGTTTCGTACATCGGTGGAAAATAAATCGCTTTAATTGGTTTGGCCAGCTAAAAATAAGATGTTAAGTAATGAATGTCCTGTAGGTGTTAGAAAGCATTGTTTTAGGCTTTAGGCTTTTTAATACCTTATATACGTGTGACTTGTGTTAATTATCAGTAATGAAGTTATATTCATCTATATTTCAAAAAGGAGGAGCAAGAGGAAGAGAGACGGCAAACAAGAGTACCTATCTGCCCCCTTGTGGTTTTGATGTGCTGTGTATTGCCCAAATGAATGCTGCAGTAGCCATAAATTTTAGAGTTAAGAAAAAACAAACAAACATCAGAGGCACTACTTCATACTCACAGTATATATAAATATATTTAGGCTTTACACTTTGAAAATTATATTTTATAATGAATATTAATAATCAGTAAGGCTACTGAAGCTAAATCCTCGTGCTGTATAAAACAAAGTAGAAAAGGTTCAAACTCTTCCCCTCCATTTAACCCTTTCACACACACCGACATAGCTACAGGATTTGCTTATTTATGGTGTGCAGTTCCATTCAGCTCATAAGTGGCCCACATTCATATATCATCCCCTGGTGGATCCCTGTTATGTAATTTCATTCCCATCAGACTGCATCAGCCTCACAATGTTTGCTGCTTGGCTTTTATGAGCTCACACGGGATATACACAGCCTATATACACAGAGGCAATGTAACACAAGTGTAAATCTAGGAAGGGTAAAAGGTAACAGCGACGAGGCAACGTGAGAGATTTTTGTTGTGTGTCAGCACATGTGTATTTTGGATACATGTGAGTGTGGCGGTTTGGATACTGAAAGATAAATTATGCAAACCTCTAAACTAAGTCCAAATATTTGACAGCACTTTGGCTGCTGTTACACTGTAATGGATTTCACTTCATTTTTCAGATTGCCCCATTTGACGCCCATACAACATGGATATATCTTCATCTTCGCTTCAGTACGGATCAAAAAAGCGGGTCAAGATTCACCCCAACACAGTGACGGTGAAATATGCCACTCACTTCCCTCAGCCTGGAGATGAGGGCTATGACGATGCACCCTCTTTTGAGGACTTTGGCGCCTTTGCTGAAGCCAATGTGGGGAAGAGACTGGTGTCAGATAGCAAAGGTGGCAGGACTTTCTTTGGAACCATGGAAACCCAACCTAAGCAGCCAAGTGTGCAAAGAGACAAGGGCGTTGAGGGGCAGCTGGCCAGCTTTGGCGAAGCGAATGTGTTGGCCTCCAGGGTGACCTGGATGGCCTTGTTTGGGGCAGCAGTAGCTCATGGCTGTGTGGCATTGATTACTCGTTTAGCAGCTGACCGTTCTAAAGTTCCTTCTCTTGAGCTACTATTCATCCGCTCGGTGATCCAAGTGCTGTCCATCCTGGTGGTCTTCTACTACCACGAAGCCCCCTTTGGCCCCAAGGGCTATCGACTGCGTCTCTTCTTTTACGGTGTCTGCAACGTAATCTCAATCACCTGCGCTTACACATCCTTTGCCATAGTACCACCTAGCAATGGCACTATCATGTGGCGTGCCTCCACCACAGTCTTCAGTGCAGTTCTAGCCTTCCTGCTGCTGGATGAGAGGCTGGGCTATACTGATGTAGTCACAGTGGTAGGAAGCGTGTTTGGCTTGTGCCTGGTTATGGTGCCAAATGTAGCAGATGAGGAGAAGTCCAGGCTGGGGTTTTGGAAGGAGGCCTTTGGCTACACAATGACAGTGATGGCCGGCATGACTGCTGCCCTCTCCATGATCGTCTACAGGGCCATTAAGGAGCGGGTCAGCATGTGGACCGCACTCTTTACCTTCGGCTGGACGGGCACAGTTTGGGGCGCCTCCACCATGTTTATCATGCAGGAGCCCATCATTCCTCTGGATGCGGAGACCTGGGGCTATTTAATTGGGATTTGTATCTGCTCCACTGTGGCATTTCTCGGAGTCTACTATGCTCTAAATAAGTTTCATCCAGCCTTAGTGAGCACCGTGCAGCACCTGGAGATTGTGGTTGCCATGTTTCTCCAGCTCATCGTTCTGAGGATGATCCCCTCTGTCTATGACGTCATCGGGGGCCTAGTCATCATGATTAGTGTGTTTACTCTGACTGGAGTCAAGCTGTACAGGGTGAGCAGAGCCATTCGGCAGGATTACCAAGAGATCCTGGACTCACCCATCAAATGAATTTAGATGTCAGTCTAATTGTTTACAATGTTGCTTGGTTGTACAATTCAAAGAATGTCTGGGTCGTCATCTGATGATTTTGTATTGTTGTGTTGTCAAATGAGTGCCAGTTGTGTAACTAATAAAAAAAAATGGTGTCTTAATATTTGTGTGGGAAATAATAATAAAAAAAGGCAGATATAACATGGTGACGACTTTGCCTCAGTAGTATTGCTTTAATGTCTAATCAGTTGTGTGACTGGCCAAAATGTTGGGCATGAAAATGATCTGTTTAGTTTGTGTGCTTTACCACGCTCCAAGATTTGAAATCAAATTGACCCCGTGGGATCTGGTCTTGTGAATGTCAATGTAAAATCAGCAAAGATGTATCTCTGTAAATGTCAGCCCAGAGATGGGTCACGCTACATAAAAGGAATAAAATAAGAACTTTAAAAACAGCCCAACCTTTTATAAAAAACAAAACAAAAACAAAAAACCAACTGGTATTTATTTGTGTGGCTCCTAAGCTGTTGCTTTCCAAGACAGTATAATTTCTTCAAAGAAACAATTACAGATGAGCCAGCGAAGCTACAAAGTAGAATATAATGTCCTTTATGTGATAGGCTGCAGGCTGTGGCATTATGTGATATTGTTCTTGTTAAATCTAAATTGAACACCAAAAACAGACTCCAAATTTACTGGAGGCCAAATGTGACTTTGAAAAATAAAAGGTCTTGTCTATAATTCCTTATATTTTGTGCACAAACTGTTGTTTTGTTGTTGCTGCTCCCTATCACGTATGCTCTGGCCCCGTCGCCTAGTTGATACTTAACACTGGCGATTATAACCCTGGATTCTGCTTCTGTTTACTGTCAGATGCATATCAAACTAATGCCCAGAGGCAGGTGCACTGTATTGAATTAGAGTTGCCTTTTGACAGCGTGAGACCATTTGCTTTCTCTGTAGTGGGTGATTCAGTGTCTCACCAGTGACGTCTCCTTTTCTCTGTTGGGAAAAACCAAGACCACTTGAGCTCTACGTTTCCCCAAGGCAAAGCAAAAGCAATGGAATGAAATAAGAACAAAATGAGGATGCAGAGTGGATGAAAAGAGGGGATGATGCTTGCTCACAGCTGACACAAACGCATGATTCACTGATAGCCCAGCAGGTGGCATTCAGGATCCACTTCATTTAGACTGCTAGAGCTAGGAAATTATTTTACTTCAGAAAGCCAGGAAGCGAATGTTTTGTGTATGCAGTAGAAATGGAAGCATATTGATGGAGCAAATTGACCTGAGACTGTGCATAGCTGATGACAATCTATTGAATAATAACCTTATTTGCACACAAATAGGTAATAAATGTCATGGGACCAGTAATATACCCTTATTACAGCAACAATATAAGCAGTAAATCAAATCCGCCTGTGTAATGACAGTCTACTACTATTGAATAATACAAAATGACTAAAACAACAAGCTAGATCCATTTGCAGAGAAAATGTGGACAAAATCTTTCTCAAGCTAATAAGAAAGTGACTCAAAACACATTCCACCATGCCATATTTTATTTTAAACAGTCCAATTTATATTAAAAAGTGAATAGAAGTATTAGATGGAGTTTATAATCCACTATACATGCAGTATTATAGTCTAGTTTTGGGTGCAGATCACAGAATACATGTAGGGCAGGCCCATCTGTTTGAGCAGGAAACAGATTGCATCCTGCAGCGAGTTGCACAGCCTTCCAAATTACTCTGCAAGTCTCTTCACCACAGACACGTTTAATAGATGTATCATCATTTCACATGTGGAGCCCGAATGGGATTGGATGACGAGTTATTTTATGTAGATTCGTTTTGTGTATCGCACGGTTGGTGATGACTGGGCATTTCTTTGAAATGCTTATTAATGCTGAGAAAACTACAGTTGTCATATACTAAAAACACGTAGGCAGCATTTAACGCGATGCTTGCTGAAGGGCAAGCTTGCACTTTTTATGTATTTTATTTTAGCAAGTATAGTACAGAACATCAATTTCTTACTAGCCTAAATTATAGTTTGGGTCTTGTGCTAAAGTCCCACTCCCTACGTATCTTTCTTTTAGATACCAAAACATTAAACAGTACGTGATGCGATAACCAGACTCACTTTCATCTCTCTTTTCATACACACGTCTATCAATGGTAGAGATTCGATCGATTCTTTACCCTCACAGAGACGAAAACATGACGAATGCTTAGGGGAAAGCAAAGCACCAGCAGCTGCAGTGAGATTAATGGACAGTGTCTTTGTCCAATCACAAACTCCTGATTCTCTCTCAGCCAATCGTGTGGCAGCAGGCGGGACCCAGAGAGCGTCTGAACTGCTTGTGTAGCTGCTAGTTAGCTTAGCCATGCTGCTGAGCGATGACATGCATTGATGCAGAAATGCTATTCCAACGGGGCACGGCGTCTCGTCAGCTAGGCTAGCGTCTTGGAGTGGGGAAAAAAGAAAAAAAAAACCTGGCTGCTTAGCTAGGATTCTGGATGCCGCTTCTGTGCATCTTTGGCTGCTGTGTGTAACCCTTTAACATATTTCCACAAGGACATAAGAAGAGGTGGCCGTCAGGAATCAGGTAAGACCTGGTATGACTAGAGCAGGGTATGAATCTGAGCTGCCGCTGATGGTGAAGCTCTGTGATACAGACTGCAGCACTAACGGTTCTCCAGCGTTAAAGCTCACGCAAGCTAACAGCTAAACGTTAACCTAGACTGAAAAAGAAAAGGAGAGAGAGAGAGAGAAAAACACCTAGTGTCCATGCCAGCATGGCCAGCACACTGTTATCCAGCTGGCAGACGGTTAGTCTGGCTGTAACCACTAAAAGCAGATGGGGGAAATTTTCTTAGCCAGGTTAATGTTAGCCGTTTTAGCGTGACACGCTGTCAAGCTCAGGTTATAAGGTAAAAACTCCACCAAAACTGCTACACATCTTTATCATCTTTATTCTTCTTTTCGTTCAAGCGGGCACCACGTAAACACTTCTATTTGTAAGACTGACAATTTAAATGAAGCCACAGTGATGTTAAACCGTTTGATCCAATTTACAGTTTATACTTAAATGCAGCTTTATTTTTTTCTTATTATATCTCAGGATTACGTTTTTTAATTGCGTACTGAGTTGAACTCGCGTGGTCGTGGTCACGATGTGCATCACTGGTATTGGGGTTTGCTTCAAGTAGCCATAATTAGTCATAGCTGGTCCATCACCTCTATCTTCACCCAGTGATACCCAGTTGGCTTGGTATCTGTTTATTTGGATCAGTAGTGCTCAACCTAAAGACATTCTGTCCCAGAGATTTCAAATGCAGGAAAAATCTTCACCTTAGAGAACATACAACAATGAATTGTTTTTTTGTTTGTTAAATAGTTTTTTATTTATTTATCTAAACTCAATTTGTGGATAAATACCTACCTGTATACTACGTGCAAAATGCATTTGAGCCTACATATTCCTAGTTGGATCGCTTAGATCTTGTTTTGGGCAAGATTTTGGGTAATTGCACACTTAGTTTATCCCGTAACATTGTTTCTACCTTACACAACCCAAGCCAGACTAAATGTCATTCTTAGAAGCACAATGGGGCAGTTCGTCTGTATAACTCCTGGCGAGCCCTTGCGGCTTTTGTTTGTGTGGCCTTCTACAAAATTTGGTGCAACACTCAACAGATTATTCCAGCTTGAGGTTTTTGTATTGCAGGTATTTATTTGATGATTTGTGGTTAATTATATCAGAGCGATTTATGCGAGTAGCCTGCACATCTCTGCAACCAAATACTAGCGACTGGTTAAGAATTAGTCTGTAATTATTGTCACAAGTTAGTTTTCAAGCAGGTGAGAGGAGGAGGAGGAGGAAGAGAGAGGCATTTGCTCTGCTGTTGCTCTCTTCTCAGTTGGAGTCACAGAGAGGGTATCCACAGCTTGCAGGAGGAAATGGTGATGCCATTCTTATCAGCATTTAGTACTCGAAGGCTTACATTTGAAAATCAAATGTATGCATGGAAACTGCAATTAGGCAACCTATTTTAAAAAATTTGCACCTGTCAGCTGCCATGTCATGAGCTTCTGTGCAGAAGTGAGGACTGTTCCTTCACTCTGATATACTCCTTGTGTACTCCTGTAATAGTCATACATCCCACACTATAATGGTGCTCTTGTTTGGATTTTATGACAGAATAATCGTATGCGTATGAAGGCGTTATCCTTTTTTTGTTTGGCTGTGCCCTTTCCTCTTTTCCGAGTGTCTGGCTACCAGTAGCTTCCAGCAGCCAAATCTGTCCTCGCAGCCCAGGGTAAAATACCAACTTTGCTTTTCTCGATAGTCAAAACGATGGCTAAAATTTCCCTCGTCAGGGCTCAGAAGCTAGTTCATAAAGTCACCTTTCTTTCTTTTTTTTTTTTTTTTTTTGGACTTTTTATGAAGTTGAGAAATGGGGATTTTTTTTTTCTTTTTTCCGCAATTGTCTCTTTGCATGTTCTCGCCTTAATCTCTGTTATTGCATACATTCTCTTCCATTTCCTCTTTCATTTTTTTTCTTTTTTTGTGCCCGACTGCTCATGCATGTAGATGTTTGAAGAGTAAATAACAGACGTTCTCTGTATACATTAACTGTGACAGAATATGACGGAGCAACAGCTCCTGCTTTCTGTGCCCTGGCAAAGGGCAAAAAGGCGACTAATGAGCAAAACACTGAAACCAAAAAAAAGGGGAGAAAAAGATAAGTTTCAGCTTAACTACTAAAGCAAAGTTGTAAGGAAGTGCACAGTTATTGTTTCTTGTTTGGACTAAGTTTTCCAACTTTTGTAAAAGTGTACTGTCCCGGCTGTATTTGCCATCTTTTTGTTTTCTTTTGAAGTGATTTGACTTCCTCGTGTCGAGTAGAAGTGTGCAGTTTCAGTGTTTCTTCTCTTAGTCCATTATGGTTCGGGGTTTTCTTTCAGTGGGTTTGGCAAAGTGATAATGAGGATGTGCGTACTCGTGCAACTACGACTGTCATTGTTGTGACAGCAGTTGTGTAGCACTGAATTACAAAAAAAGCAATACTGTCATAATGAAAGAACTGTGCGTGTCTTTAATGATGAAAGCAGGCTTTTTAGGCACAAGCTTAGGTCATTTCTGTGAATTTGTTAAACCAATAGTAAGTCCTGTCCACAAACCTTCCTCAGTCTGCTACAGTACTTTCAGTAGGAGCAAGAAAATGATGGTTCATGGGTGGCTTCCACACCACCCGTTTTTCTTGTCATGTTCTTTATGAACATGTTATGCAAAAAACAAAACAAAAAAACAGTTAGACCTTCATATAGCTCCAGTATATGAGACTGTTCTAATTAAAACCTCTTGTGTACCAGATTTTTGGATCTATAATCTCACCTCTCAGTGTTGTCTGTGGTCCACTGGTAGCAAATAGAGATCAGTGACTAGATGGAAATTTTCCTGTGACTATTTTATAACACCCAAACCTAGGAGCAAAGTTCAATTTTATGGCATAACGCTCTTGGCTGTAACGACAACATGGAAAATATTTGAATTAAAGCAAGCTAGATCTTGAATGCAATCACACGGGAAATCAAACAGCAAGAATGAAATAATTAAACAGTCCGGCAACCTAGGAATCTCATCAGTCATTTGAAAATCAGTTTGTTTTTCTTATCGCATTTCTGATCGCCTTGAAACTGACCTTCAAGCAACTGCTGAGATATTGGCTTTGTTGCAGACTTAAGCATCTTAATCAGATTATTTTGATTTCTTTAGTTTTTGTGTGTAGAAAAAAAGCTGACCATCCCTATAAAAATCTGTTGTTGCCTCTGAAATGAATGTGCTGGATCTTTTGAAGGGGTTAGCAATGGGACTGCAACGATTAGTCGACTAGTCACGATTACGTCGACTATTAAAATCGTCAACGACTAATTTAATAGTCGACTCGTCGTTTGAAGCTTTGTAAGAGCCCAAAAGACGCAGGAATAAGTACCGGTAGTAGTATTTAAGAGTGTAATAACGGACTGAAACAGAAGATGGCAGCACTGCATGTACAAGGATGCCAGCTGCCGTTAAACCCCGAAGAAGAAGAAGAAGCTGTGTCCCAGAATTCATAGCGCAGCCCAGCGCATTTGTCAACAATGGCGGCAGCTAGTTAGTTTTAATATTACTCATATTATTCTTTTTGGGTCACAAAATAAAGTTTAACATATTTTCAGGCGAGAATGTAACTGTGTAAACCTCAAATATCTGCTCAGTTTATCAGGACACCACATATTTTCAAAAGCGCTCCGACGTTTTCTGAGACATCTGTTACCCACTAGCTCGATAGCTAGCCGGGTTCAAGGCTCACTCGAGCCTGTGAGAACACCGGACTCCCAGCAAATCCTTTTCAAACCCACCGCCGTCTTTCGCTACTCAGGTTAAACATTTAATATAAGTCACTTAGATAACTTAAAAATGTTATTGTTTGGCCTTTTTTTTTGTATTTTATTTGTTCCTGAGTAAATCAGTTTGGCTGAGAAATAAAGTTATAGTTTTTACACAGCTGAATAAAGGTCAAGCAGACAGCTGATTATCAGAAGTGTGAGATGCTCGAGAGTATACTCCGGTGTCCTGTTATATTTTAGATAGCAAGGAGCAGACGGCTGAGTTTATTAAACTCCACCGAAACAATCTGTAGATGTCATTCAAATTTAATAAACTATCATCTTGTCTTTTTTTTAGTTAGCACATACCTTAAACACTTCAAGCTGTAAGCTAATGATAGTTATATAAGAGCAGATGCATGCTGGTGCAATAAGCTGTATGTTTTACGTCCAGTGGATGCACGATCCGATTAGTTGACTAATCGCAGAAATAATCGGTGACTAGTCGACTGTCAAAATAATCGTTCGTGGCAGCCCTAGTTAGCAACATATATAACAAGTGCTGTTTCACACCATTTCCCTGGGTATGGAAAAGTTGCCAAACAATCTCCAGCTTTCATTAAAAATGCATGAGAACATTGAATTTACTCTCAGATAATACCCTGAAGAAATAAAATGAACTGAAATGTGTGTAGGCTGACTGATTTGGGGAGTATAGAGATGAGCGTTTCTGTGGAAAATGTTCTTTTCCCCCCCCCTCTCTCCTATCAGAGAATGTAAGGATGGGAATTTTTGCAGATCCTAGGTTTTTGATTTTTCCAACTTGTGTCCTTCTCAAATGTCTGCCACAAGTAGCTTGTTTAGTTCTATTGTGATGGCATTTTTGAGGATGTAGGAAGAGTTAAAATGAAGCCTTTATCTATTTTATATCTACTACTGTCCAGTTTACAAATAATCTGCGGTTTTTACTGAAACAATAACAAGGTCTTCTGCTTCATGGCAGTACTTCCCCATATTTAGATTTTGTTCATACTGACTCCTAGCAGGTTTAGGAACCATGACAGTACACAAAACCAAACCAAGAGCAGCTTTATTAAACTGCACTGCTGTGTGTTGGAGTTCCTTCTGCTTTGTAAACTTAGATTAGTCATTGGGCAATCCCCTGGAGCTCCAGAATCACAGATGCACTGTTGCTTTAAACCCAAGATTTCTTGGATGTGGCCATCATTTTAC